TCGTACCGTTACAGCCTCAACTCTTTCGATCCTATTATTATTATGGAGTAAAATTATTAACTGTTCTTACCCTTAAGTGTGTTACGCTAAATGAAACCGAAACTTTTAAAAAGTTCGTAGGACGATTAATCAAGTCAGCTGTTTGACATGATCTTCTAAGAAGGTGGGCAGTCAAAACTTTGGAGAAAAATAAACGCTAAGAACGGAGACTGGTGAGATAGTAAATGGGAATAACACTAGAGTTGGAAATGCCAGCATATTTATATGCTCTTGAAAACGATAAGATTCCCATCTCCGATAGGCCTAGTTCCGTACGCAGTGTTGCTGAGCATTTTATCTCGAGGGTTTTCGGGTTTGCATATTCGGAATCAGTTTCCATTGGAATCGAGTTTTGAGGTCTTTATTAAGCAATTTCCATTGGACGTGAGGCTTTGCAATACTTGCGTGAGGTTTCACGCCCGATCGATTGGCGGCCCAAAGTCACGTTTTAGAATACTAACGGTTCATCCGATGGATAGTAGTTAACCGATTGTATTCAACTTGCTATTACAAGTATTGAATAACGAAATTTGAGACTGCTTAATTTTCAAGTTTCCAAAATATTGCAAAGGCTAGCAATAATTGGGTCTAAAGAAAAGAATTCAGTGACAATGGAAGCAATAATCTTCCACTGTAAAAGACTACTGATATGCAACATGCACGTGGGCTGGGAGATGCCGTTTTTGAACAAAGAATCGTCGTTTGTTTCGATGATCTTAAGCTTTTACCTTTAGCATGTAAATAAACGATCCAGCAAATGCGCCGTTTTCCGCGATTGCGAGTTCCGCTGTGTGCAATTCACATAAGTCACATATTACGCGACAAAATGTGTTGAACACGTCCGGATCGTTAAATGTACTAACATGTTGTTATATCGTATGATTCGAAACATATGCATTAAAATTGACAACTAGAGCAACAATATGATTAAAACATGTACCAAGATTATCAATGCTACTGTGTTTAACGGGAATGTAGGTAGGATATAAAGAAAGACACAACGTTCTACAATTATTCTAAATTACATCCAATTCGCCCGTACAGTTGACGCTATCCGTAATGAACTTGGCTGTGCCTATAGAGTGAACTCGTTGAATACTTTTCATTTAAGCAGGTTAGTTCAACCACCAATAAACCAGATAGTATTTGAAAATTGATAAACATAAGCATCAACGGAACGAATGTTATTGTGAATGCAGTTTTACGTGCCAATTTATACACAAGTTTCATTTGCAATGCAAAACTCATACGTAATTTTACATTTTACGCATTAAAAGTTAGATTATCTTGACTACCACCTCTTCATTCTCTTCGCCTTAAATTGCATTTGTCCTCCCCTTTCACACCTTCCTTTGACACTACTCAGGCCACCTACTGTGCCAATTAAGAGCGCCACCAATCTCACTCTAAACCCACACCACCTTGCGTGTCACTGGCTACTTTGCATGTATCTCAGCAGCCATTTCAGCCGTACGATAATGCTCTCGTCGTTTACTATCTGAAATAGAACGTAAGTTGAATAAGTTATTGGAAAGAAACAATAAATTGGTTAAATAGAACAAAATTATGAGTTTACCCGTATTGTTCCGAAAGCATTCGGGCAACTCGGTAACATCGTACATTCTGGTATTTATGCATAATCCGTGTAGAGCCAAGTAAACCGCAAGTAGCTGACGTGCGACTTGAATTAACAGCTTTTTATTATTGAAGGATAAAAAGTCATGTAGAAGCATTTGTCGATGTGTGTTTGATGGCGATACAAAAAGCGATGGAAAAGCGGCGATTATTTGTAGCATCTGGTGATGGTGGTGGGGAGGGGGGTGACTATGGGGGAGTGCGTTTATATATTCGCTGTCATACGGTTGACCAGATATAACTGATAATAAGCCAAAACATCCCGATAAGTCTGACGGGGGGCGTGTACTGAATGTAATATTCGGAAGACATTTAAAAATCATTGAACGAATGGAATTCAACAACATTACACTATCAGTCATTATACTAACTGTAGCATTTCCAGGGGAAGTTTTGCTTGATTATCTAAGCATCCAGGATGCCTGCTAAGCAAAACTGAGAATGAATGCAATCTGTCGCCTAACGAGATACCCTATAGTACAAATTATTCCTTGGTCTGAGACCATAAATCGATAGTGATACTTTGTTTATCGGGAGGACGAATAATAATATTTGTTTATCCTCTGTCCATCTACATTGTTGTCCTAACTTGGCATTACCTGCCGTATATTTGTATCTTTTTCCTACTGAATTGATTTGATATTTCGCGCGAGAGCGTTACTTGCATAGTTTGAAAACAAATCCCAGTTGTACCGAGCCCAAAACTTACGTAATTTACCTTATTGGTTTTTAATTGGTCACTCTTGAGAGATCATCTATGGTATAATGTGGCGAATATGCACAAACTATGAAAAATTCTTTCATGATGACGTTGCCAGTGTGACATTTCTTGTATGACTGTTTTGATAGAAAAGATATTATTGCAGATTTTGCGTACAAATAAATACACAAGAAAAAAAAACAAGCATAAGTTTTAACTATTCTTGAATGTATTCGTAATTCCTAATTACAAGTAAGAATCACAACTGTGTTACAGAAGCTTTTCCCTCCCCTTTTCAAATTTGTAGACACGGGAACGTTTTAAGCATTTTAAACATCTGATTTAACAGTTAGAAAAACCACTAAGGTGACTGTTTGTTGAGATCGAAAACAGGCAGAAAATATTCGGGTCTGAGTGTTCCGATGAGGGTAAACTGTTGGCGCCTTGAATATCAATGCCTTTGTAGCTGAAGCCATCAACTAAGAGTTAACGAAAACTGAATCTTCTGACAGTACTTTTCGCAATCCATCCAGCTATTTCGACTATTTTGCGGTGAGCCTTGTTCAGTGAAAAGCGAGCGAACCCTGCCAGTTTCCCATTGTCCCGGATTTGGAACATTTTATTGGTGGCCCATAATAATCACAGCCATCGTAATTTATAAAGGATATTGAGTATCCATTCCAATCAAGTCGAGCCTGAATTTTTGATTGCGTTGGTGATCTCTTTCGCGAATAATGCTAAATGTGAATACGTTTTGATGATACAGCTGAACAAAATAAATAAAAAAGAATTTCTCGAAATTGTGTGGTATGACTTTATGGCTGAAATTGCGCGTAATTATAACGCACATATGAATGGATTATTATTCGTATTTGATACACATAACGATCTATTACAAACAAATTTACATCCAATCCAATTAACGAATGGTCATGTATCACGGTTATCTTGTACTTGTCTCACTATTTTTTCCCAGTCGAGATAATTAGTTCTTGTCTTCGTTAAATTTATACGATATCTCCAAGATTACAAAGCATGTTCATCCCTTTCAATAACCAATAGGGATTACCACAACCAAGAAGATTAGTCATACAACCCAATTCCGGCGCTACCCGTTAAATAATTTTACACAGTAACAAATAATGTGCCATTTTTGATGATAAAGGTGCTGAAACCTTCGGAATTCGACTAATTCTTTTATAATGTATAGCTACAGATTATGAATACGGGTTAGTGCGTTTCAGTTTGTATTGAAACACTAATTTTCTCATGCTACGCAATAAGATTCAATTCATACATTAATGCTGGAGTACTTCGACAATAGGCAGATTATCAGACCTTTTTTCTGTAAATATCGGTGCGTAGTTCCAAGAGAACGTTAATAAGAGGGTTATCCCACACAGGCTCAAAATATTTGCGATTAGATATAGCGCTAAGACGTGGATGAGAGCTAAGTTCTGTTACAGTAATCTATGCATTATGGAAGAATGTTAACCTTTTTTATAGTTTTTCTTTAATGGTTCCTTTTACTGCTTGCTCGCCTTTTAATAATACTGAGTGTACTTGTTGTATGTGTGCCAGCAGGCATTTACCAAACGCCGACCCAATTCCAGCTTTATATAATTTAAAGTGAGTAGTGCTGACGCGCGTTCTGATCTCCGTCTGCGACACCCTTGTCAAGAAGTGTATTCTCATCAATGAATGCATTTGTGAACGGCAACGTCTGTAAATGCGCGGCCTTTAATGATATTTCGTTCAAGCAATGGTTTCTGGGTTTTGAGAAAATGAAGTTAGGGAAGAGATTTGGCGACATGAAAGTGAAGTTTTCAATTACTCAAGACCCTTTGTTCCTATCTTTTGACGTCCATTCACTGCTGAGCTTGAAAACCAATGTTTTGGTACCTTCGCCTCAATTTACCTAGGTCAATATCGACGTTTGGCTGGTTATCATGTCGCAACGAGATCCGCATGCGTCAGAAAGTTTGGAATTACATAAAATTAAGGCTTTATATTTATTTTAACTATAACTCTAACCCCAACCTTATCTCGAGGCCCGGGTAACATGAAATAAAAGAAACTTTGGGTATTGCATTGTCAAACCACGTGTGGATCCTTTCAACTCGCAAACATTTTCAAGGTGCATACGCAAAATAAAAAGTTAAACCGATTAGTTATTACGTATAATAAGGCCTTGAAGATTTTTTTATCAGTGAATTAGTTAATATCACGTCCTGATTGTTAAAGATGTTTATGGCAAGCGCACTTAACAAAACAATTAAATTTATGAACATCATTAATACTGTTTTGCTGATATTTATAGAAAAGTATCAACAATCACCACAGATTGCTTATCGAAAATACCAAATTTAGGAATGGTAACGATACGCTAACACACGTTCCCACAATCAGACACGCCAATCGATCACGTATTAGCCATTTGCGCCAGCCAAGCATAAGATCAAATTCCCTTCGCTGGTTGTAGATATTATTACTTTTTTAACGACACAACTTGTAAGTCTGTCAGTTTTCTAACTGATTGAGATATGCAGTCGTGAAACAACGTATAAACGTTATAAAGGACAACTAATAACTAGAAACGTTCTATTATACTATAAGAATGCAAGCCATGTCTGAGAAGGAAATCAAGTACACAATTGTGCCCTCGGACGATCTTAAGGAAGAAGGTAATATGAGCTTGCACATTACGTTATTGACCTTGAAAATGACCGAAGCAGCTAAGCTTTTTACATTCGTTAGCTATACCAGATTCTGGTTTTAATCCTGCTGGTGAACCCAAGCGCTGCGGAAAACGTTGCTGTCTCCGGAAGACCTGGAGGAGGGCTTTAGCTTTTATTCTTTGTGCCGTCCTAATTGGACATCTTGTTTATGCCGGAGTATTCCATTTCTTGTTTAGGGTGAGTCTTGTTTAATGATTTTTCAACGATTATCAAGTTCTAAGACTTGACCTGAATATCTTTGCGCTACGGCTTAACTTTTCCTCGATCTAATACGTGTACGCGATCAAGGGTGAGTGTGATTAGAGTTTCCTTTTTTTACCAACTATGAGATTTGATCTCACTGCTTGCATACACTTCGCTAGGTAAACGTCGCCACTGTCATCCAAAGATTTTTGGCACCCCTGGTTCGTGCACGCCTTCCATTAAATTAGAAGGGAAGAATGAGTACTTGTTCGAACCATCTGATGTCGAGGGTTTAATTTTCAGCGTCAAAGGATTTTCATCAGTAAGTATAATTTGCGAGTGTAACAAGAGGAATGAATGTAACTTTCACTTTTGGAATACAATCTATAAAATCAACCGAGAATACTGTATTGAAACGTCTTCATTTGCTCATGTAGCAAGGGAGTGTTATTATTCGTGAAGATCCTTGGGCTCAGCATTACATAAATGTAACGAATACGATTTATGTCTCGGAAGATTCTCTTCAAGATGAAGTCAGAGTAGAATCATCCATAATCGACAAGGATGCTACTATTAATATCGTAGTAAGTACTGTGGGACTTTATCTGTTACGTTGAATATTACCAGAAATGACTTTATTCTTGTGATTTTTCCGCAATCAAGACTCCGTCCTTTGATGTAGGGAACAAATGCGTTCGCGTTGACACCGTCATTACATTCCCATCGAAAGTCAAGTACTTCAGATCATTAGCGGTTGATGTACCTAATTCTTGGATCGCTACTGAACGATTAAACAATATCGATTTTGCGTTTGTCAACCTTAAGACGGCTAATGGTCATATATTCGCTGACGTAAGTAATTACATACACAGTAAAACGTAGAGTATTTCTGGTTAGTTTGATAAAGTCGTTAACCCAATTCCCTATCAGAAACTTTCGTTCACCGAGGGCGAAATTGCAACTGTAAACGGCAATATTCGCGGTCATTATGCTGTAGCTGAAAAATTGGAGGTAAGAAGATGGTTTCAAGCCCATTCTCGAACCAAACCACCCTTTCGATGTCAATAACCAATTGCTAATATGACTGTTAGATCAAGAACGTTAATGGTATCGTTGATGTCGAACCCCGTGTTCATCCATGGGCAGACAATGTTGCTATCGATATTCGCTCTGTGAATGGACACATTGACGCTCATGTGGTACGCGTTAAGCTGATTACTATTGTTATCTGATCTCATGCATTGCTTACAATCGATTAGCACTAAATGTTATATATCACATTAGCGTGACCTGAGTGAAAACCAAGTCGTTAAATTCAAGGCTCATTCTGTCAACGGGGGTATTATTATCACTATTGTAAGTGAATATGAGTTTTCAAATAATTCGAATATAACAGACACTAATCAAATATGGTATTTTTAGTCTGATTCATTCAAGGGCAGATTTGTCGCCAAGACATTTGTCGGATTTGCTAACGTTGAAGGCAAAGATATCACGTTCGAAACAAACAGAAGAACGTACAAGAGTGGCACCAAAGGTTTAGAGATCGACGATAGGGATAATGATGATGACGACGATGTGTCCAGCGCCACTTTGGAAGCATATACAGGATCGGTTGAGCTGTATTTTAAATGAAACTATTCATTTCTTTGTTAACAATAAGTTATACTTAGGAGAAATTGCTTATGTACAAGTATGAACGATTTTTATAGTTATTTTATAGCGTTATTTGAATAAATTGATACAAAGATACTTGTTATTATTATCCTTCATTCGCGTCGCCTTGATTATTATTATACAGATTGCTATACCATAGCTAAATAAACCTGGGCTACAAACTCAAACAGCAATTTATCACTAGCCGAGATAAATAATCTCCTCAAATCAACTTCGCCTATGTTTAACATCTCAACCGTCCAGCGTAAAATTACAATACAGGACCGCCAATGCGTGAACAAGCTGAGGGGATGCGTCGGAATTTAGACATTCGTGCTTTCGTGTCGTACAGCACCACCGAAATTCGAGAATACTAAAATACGATAGCTCCCAGGAAAACTGCCAACTAGTGTGACGGATGACCTCTTATCTGCGTATTGCTCACAATGACACATTTACATTATCATTTGATGATAACAATTATGTGAACTGAAATTCGTTATAATAGTTTCGAAATAAAGATAGCATTGAAGCTTGAAAATCCGTGGACCATCCAAACTAATTTCTTCTAAACATTTCTTTGTTCATTTTTCTACAATCATCGTCGTAATGTTCTACACATAAGTTATTGTTTTTAGTAATTCACTTTCAGCATTAAAACCTATTATAATGATGATAGTAATAATCTTCCAACTTACATCATCACAATAAGGACAATTACCAAATAACATGTTGAAACTCTGTCTAGTAGTGGGAATTGCACGCAGCCACTTATTAGAGAGATAAAAATTAATATGTGTGTAGGAACAAATGACAAGTCTTTGTAATGTAAAATTAGCATAGCGTGTCGCATGAATTACCTCATACAAACAAGCTCGATGAAACGGCTGTCCACATTTGTCGTTACTGCATGTTTGCGACGGAATTTCATCGTTCAATCTATAAGAATAGCAGATTCCGCACTCAACGTTGAATTCCGATTTTGAAGTGGTCAATGGCGAAGGGAATTTCATCTCTAATATGGCTTCCAAATTTTGACGAATCGTCAATGACTGATCCCTTCCGAACCAAAAAATGAATAGTCAATGGGTTGAATACACAAGGATTCATTGCCAAAGAACAAACGATGCATGCATACCATACCACGTCATAAGATTCTTATTCAAACGATCTTGCAGTGGACCAACCGTCTTCTCACTTCCAAATAGTCTACACTCGCAGATTCCTCTTGGATTCTTAACATCAACATCAATCTGTAACGAACAATGATTGCCAAGTGCTATTCTTCGCATTAAATCACTCCGCTTGGGCTTATCTGGTTCCAATACCCAAGTATGATTATCAAAGTCTTCCAACAACAGCCAAAGATCTTGAAACTGTTTGACTTCCTAGTTGAAAAAAAATTTTAAATATTACAAACCGCAATCATAATTATTTCCCATTCACAAGTGTGCAAGGTACCTCCTGAAATAATGATATCATCTTCCGTAGACCAGATTTGCTATGCAACGAAACTGATATCGATGTCGGCAAGTCGACATGTACGACAGGTGGATCGGATGGGTAGGAAGAAGGCAGTACGACCTTTATTGTATGCTGTCTGCCTGACGAATCACTAGGTGAAACCATATGTTAAATTATACGTTTTGGTTTTCCCCAAGCAAAAAGTAGAACATTTTGTCCAATGTACTTTATCCGAAGCGATATATTCTTGAGCGCATGGTCAATCGATTGCAACTTATCCCATCCAATCGCGTCTAGTTCTTCCAATAAGGTAGAATAATATGTACTAGAGCACATTAGTTCGTTTTCATCCTTTGTTACTATTTGTTCCTAACGAGAGACGTGTAAATAGATCAATTTAGTTACCATAGAGATCGGAAGAACTATATCGATAAGCTAATAACAATCATACTCAACAAGTAGATCTTTCAGATCAATCAAGAATTCTTCCAGCGTGGAGCACTGTTCCAGTCGCTGTCAAGAATATATCTTTCAAGTTATGAGACCCTGTATGACGTCGACAACTTTAAATGCATATGAGTGCGTGCCTGTCGAATTACGTGTTCCTGTCCAGCCACTAGCCTACAAAGCTCGGGGCTTCCTCGTAAGCTCGCGTTCTTTAGATTGCTCGCATTACGTTGGTCGATATGTATACCGAAAGGAATCTCTAGACCCTATGAACACTATATTAATATAACAAACTCTTGGAAATAGATTAAACGGATCTATTTGAAACCTTTATAGTGATAAATCCAAGGTAAGAGGATCCTTCCGTGTCTTCGGGTATTAGAAGAGGGAATGTCTGTGAATTCATTACTGCAACAGGAAATGTAAAATGGAAATTGCGACAGAAAATATTTGGGGAATGTAAGACGCGTGTCAAAATAAACAGATCACAAAACTCGTAGATGTAATTTTTAGCCCCTTGCAAGCGACCAACCTCGAAGATTTTTATAACCACACGTTACCAATAATGTCGGAAGACAGTATCAAACCCCAGAGCATGTCCAGTGGACCACGAAATGTATTGCGTCCAAACGATTCCGCTAGTTTATGGAATTGCTCGCTCTCTCCAGGTGAACCAGTGTGCTGAATTAGTTGGCGTCAGAGTTTTCCAGTACGTTAATACTCACAAAATTGTTTAAAGGGTGGTCGCGAGAAGAAAGTGAAATTTTACGTAAAGCATTGATTAAATTTGGCATTGGCAACTGGGCCAAAATTATCGAGTCACAGTGTCTGCCCGGTAAAACAAACGCGCAAATGAATTTGCAACTTCAACGAATGTTGGGTCAACAGAGCACTGCTGGTATGTTAATGTACACTTGATCTAATTCCTATCCGCCAGCCATTATAACGAAAGACACTTGCTTCTGAACAGAATTTAATGGACTTCATATTGATCCGTTGGTCATTGGAGAGAAGAATTCTAAAATACAAGGACCTACTGTCAAGCGAAAAAATAATTGTATCGTGAATACCGGAGGTATGAATGTAACCTATTACTGAACGCGTGCTTTACATGACATGATGATTAAACAAGCATTTAAATGTAGGAAAACCTTCTCGAGAAGAAATAAAGCGTCGAATACAGAAGAATAAAGAATTGTAAGACAATGCTGGCGAAACTGTTTGGTGAAACGCGTCCGTAATCAACTTCTGACAATTATTTCTGAAAACAGATATGAACTTCCTGAAGAAAAATGGAGTGAATTTGAGTTGCCAAAACCAGAAGACGTTAGTAGAATTCTTTTTTTTTTTGTGTAATGAAACATTTACTGTTAGCATTATGTATTTATGATAATTCCATTATTGATATTTTTAGCCTTTCTTGGGTAAAGCAATATCTTGTTTTCTACGTAAAGTGAATAGTTTATAATGGCATAGATTTAAACGTTTGCTATGTTACAGTCCTTGAAGCTAAACGAAGTGAATTGCGTCATTTACAACACGAATTGTCAAGCGTTGAAGAACAGATTTCCGCATTGCGTAAACAAAGGCAGTTGCATTTGCAGCGGTTCCCTGGCGAAACTGATTCTAGCGAAAACGAACCCGAGGTAAGATGAAAGAAATTGTTATCGATGATAGGGTTAGGGTTATTTATTCGAGGCATAGACGAGACTACTCACAGTGGGCGGTGGAATACTAAGGCGTAGTCTTGTCAGGATACACCGATGTATTTTTTTTCCTGAAAATATGATTGCATTGTATTAATAATTGTGTTCATAAAGAGTCTTTGACTAGTAAAATTGTGACATGTTATCTAGAGAAGTTGCTGTGAAGGCAAATTGTCTGGAATATGGTTCATTGGTTGAATTCGTAGGCGAATTGAATCATGATTATAGTTCCATTGACACTTTATTTAATACCCAACAATGAACATGCATTATGAGAGACAGTCTGTTGCAAACATTGCCTTTCGCCAAAGGAAAAGCCTTCGTCTTTTGGAAACAGCGTTCAATACAATAGTTAATATTAAAGACTGACGCTGAGACATTATTAGTAGAGTTAGAGATTTAACAATAAAAAGTAATAAGTAATTATAATGGATGGTTGATACTCTTGCTTTGATACATCGGATAGTGCAAGCGTGCCAAGCAGAGCAGCAGAAGCATTGATGTGAGACTTTTTCTTGATGATTTGGTTGCCAATTGCAAAAGCCTGTCCATTTTAGAGTCAGAAAAAACTTTTTAAGATCAGGAGACGGTAATACTAATACAGTCACTTCACGTAAATCAACTATCCTCACAAGTGTGGACTTCATAAATATGCAAAGAGTAGTTTGTATCAGTATATGACAAAAAATAAAAAAAAAAAAGGACTTATTTCGTTGCTGATTTATCGATAAGACCGACTTATCGAAACCACGTAGCCAATGTAGTAGAATTTTATTCTTATAATATTAATAGAAAGCGATGGAACCCCTTTTCCCGATGCGGCAAGAGTTTTTATCTTCAATTCTGTTGAACCGGACATTCCAATTGAACGAGCGGGGTCTTTTAATAACGCAAGTATATGTAATAGTAATGCTGGTTGAAGATGCATTCTGCAGTGTATTGTAACGGTTTATATTTATTTTCCTTGTTGCTTAATTAATAATGTTGGACATCGAATAGTGTACAGTCGTATCGAAGAACCTTTAAAATCTTTCCATAAACTTCAATATCAAACGAATAATGTGGGTCGATCTTCTCCGGTCCGACTACTTGAAGCAAAATATCAAGTTTTTGATTTATATTGTAAAGTCGAATATACGTTTATAGTAGAGCAAAAATCCGGTCAACGACCCACAAATGAATTAATTGCATTTTTGAATATGATAGTTGTTTCAACATTAGTGTTTTGAGGTCTGTTTCAACATTCGTGTTTCTAAGAGGAAAATAAATGCGCGTCGTCTTATTGTATAATAAGTTCATCAGATTGTTTTCATTAAAAATATGTTTATTGAAAACAATGAAAAAAGAAACGAAATGTATCATCACTCTTTGCAAAAAAAACGTTATAATAATATGGCAAGCTTGTGTTGCCAAATCATTTTAAACCACTCTTCCGGAAGAAAAATTATGCAAATACAGTACCAAGATTTTTTTATTGCTTTCAATTTTTAATTAATTGGTCTAGCGTTAGTATTAGTAGGTTTACTATGTGTTTAAAGGCAGAATGTGCAAATAGGAGAATTAATTATTAATTGACCTGAAAGTAAAGACCATCTGGCATTCAGCAGTTTTGATCTTTCCCTGGCATCATGTTCGTTTTGTAGCGGTATGCGATGAATAATTACTGCAGTAGTTATAAGAGCGATCTTTTCTCGAGTCGCAAAACAGCTTTTATGCCCGGATCTTGAATATAACTATTAAGTCATTGAAATGAAATCCAGTCCCACTTGTAAATTACCCTGCATAACGTCCCTGAATATACGGATTTAACACATAATTCGAAACGTCGTTAAACTTTTGTCGTTATCTTATTGCAAGCGATATTGATAAAGTTATTTGAACAACCAGCCCGTCAACATTTCATGTGGGATATTATAAATTGTAATTGACGATCTTGTAATGCGAATAGCTTTGACGAACGAAAAAATGATTATTACTCGATTAATGTACTGTATCATATCTATGCAAGGATCATTAAGAGTTGTTTTTAAAACAACCTGTTTATAGAATGCCATAATTCCATCCGATCAATGTTTTCATGTCGACGCGCCGTTCAGTTTTGCACCCTAACTTGGGACGGGAAAACGTACGGTTGCCAAATAAATCGGCTACGTTTCGCGTCTTTGCACGGGGGAAGATCCGTATCCTTTCTTAAGCACCGCCAAGGTGGACCTCTAGAGATGTTTCAGATTTACAAATTGGCTCAACTGTTTGCATATCTCAGCGCCGGACAATATTCTCTTGACAGTACTTCATATCCAAAAAACAAAAGCAAATTCGCGGTTTTATTATGTCTTCGGGCTTCTCTGTTCAGTGAAACTATACATATTTATTATAAATATACAACTCTCAAGCCATTTATAAAACATATAATAATAAGTACATTTTAAATAAAATACATTAAATAATTAAAAAAATTATAGCCGAAATGAACTGTTATCAAAGCTCTGTCTTCGCCTTCTCCATCAGCATACTCAACTCCCTAACAATAGACGTAATTCTACCCCGATGATCTGGCTCGTGTGACCACATCCTCTCCACCAAGCTTTTATAACTTACTGCCCAGTTTGGTATATCTTCGGGCAATTTGTTCCTGTTTTTATTGTAGATATGCTTTCTTAAGTGACTTATATCCACCTCCGAATACGGCATTTGGCCTGTACCCATCGCGATTTCCCAGAATATTATTGCAAGGCTGTAAATATCCGAAAATTCATCACAAGGATACTTGTAGTGTAAAAGACGCTGCGGACAATACCAGCGTTTATATTCTTCATCGGTTAGTTCAATGTAAATATTGGTGGTGTTACGGTCAGTCATTTTTTTACTCGAACGAAAGCCGGAGAGTTTTGCCTTAGGACGTTTGGAATCGGACGAATAGGATAATAGGATGTTACTTGACCGAATATCGAGGTGGCAAATAAAACGCTATTTTTTTAAGAATGGATGACTTGGTACGTGAGCGAGGTTAATAAATAGTAGCGGGAGTAAATCATAAAATATTCACCTTGTGAAGGAAAGCTAGTCCCATAGCAATCTCGTACGAAATCCTAAGCTTTTCCCTCCAGTCGGACAACACGTTCAATGAAGGCATATTCGAAAAAGTCTTCATATAAGTAAACAAGTCCCCATCTGCCCATTCAAATAGGAGACATAAGCGACAGTCCTTAACCGTGACTCCGTAAAATTGTATTATATAATCACATTCATTTAGTTTATATTTCCAATACATGTAAACCTGTTTCAGAGTTGCACAAAACATGTCCTCGTCTCCACAATTTTTCAACGTCAATTCTGCTATAGGTTTAGAGACACTTTTAAGACTGCGTTTTACTGCAAATAGTAATCCTTTTGCTGTCTCGCGGATGATTAATTTATCAGCTGCGTCGATTTCGGATGAAGCGACATACTTGTCGAATAAGATTTTTTCCAGAGGCCATTGTTGATCTGACCATTGAAGCGTGGAAGCCCAAACAGCAAATGAAGCGTGATTAGAGGAACACTTATCGTAGCCAGTAGGTATAAGTTTGTTGATTTTCTCTTGAGCGGACGCTGTGGATAAGGACGACAACGATGAGTTCTGTCTCATGAAGATAATTTTGTGAAGAAAGGCGTGGAAGATTACGCCTTGATCATGAACTCTGTGTTGTTAATTGATGATGTGTTGAATGAGTATTAATTCACGGGTGGTTATAATCGGATGGATAATACAATGAAAGCAGCATCTTACTTGTGAAAAGCACTGCTTGCTGTGAGTGAATTCACTGCTCTCGTAGCGTAGGCGCTTTCCTCAACTTAGTTTAAAAGCATTTTAGTAGGAATAAATATTGCCATTGAGACTACCAATTTATATTAGTGCTTACCACAATTAAAGCGGACAAAAAAATTCAAAAAAAACAGCAACATTCCAATATACCGTTCTAAGGCGTACGCAAGAAACTTCTTTTCCTTTTCGGTAAAACCACCTATACGGGTTTCTAATTTCGTCAAGTAATATTCACCGTCACTCCCAAATTCGACTGTTCGTGGCGTGTATCTTTTTCTATGTTTAGTCTTTCTAGCATTTTTATTAAGATCATAGATGATAGCTCTCGCTTTGAGCACTAGTTTGTCCATAATTCCCTCGATGTATGGTTCAGATAAGAGTTTTGCTTCTATTTCTTCCGTGTTCACCTTGTAACCGCCCCAAAATGACTTGAATAAAGATCTTTCAGGTTGAACGGACGGACCTGGCAACGGATCGTTAAAGTCACTTTCTGAAGGTTGTGAAGAAGGTGATCGTGCCAAATCGTTGTTACTGCCGCATTCGTATTCGTGCTGATGTTCTTCGCAAACCCATATGAATTTCTTTGACCCATAATGATATCCTTGAACAAGACCACCATAAGATCTGGTGTTATCGATATTGTTGATATAGGTTTCGAGCGCCCGATGGCCCTCCATGTTCATGACTTGGAATTTCCCTCCTTCCACTTGATCAAGGGCTTGGAATTCAGGGTTAGAATCCTCCATTGTGCTGCTCCATGTTTCCATAGAGTCTGCGATCTGTTGGAGATATTTGCTGATATCGGCATCGTCATGTATATCAAATACATTGGAAAGCATAGCCGAGATATCTATTGGAAAAATTCCTGAAGTAACCACTTTCAATGCCATCGTAAGTGATTGCAAGCTGAAATAATAAAATCAAGGCATCGATCAGAATAACATTATCATCTGTGGCATTACTACATTAATACTTGGGTCAGAACCGTCACCCTTACCCTATGTTGATCCATTTCCCATATTTGCGGATAAATTCTGAATTTTGTTTGAGTTTGTAACCTTGTGCATTTTTTGGTACGTGCCAACAATTTTCATGTTCACATAAAAAATACAATAGAAATGATTTGGACGTCCAATTCCTAAAATGCAAATTACATATTGAAAGAGGTATTGGACAACTTGTACCAACGCACAGTATGAATATCCAATCATTACAGAAGACTTACGTTGGAGACATCCAATTTCTTTGCTGTGGAAGTAAGACGAATAAACGCGGAATCTTCTGATTGTTCAATTGTTCTAGCTATGACAAAAATAGTGCACATTGAGTAGTGCGACATTTATTGACGTAAATACAGGATGTCTTGCTCTTACCCATCGTGGAATGTTCCCACTGAGTTCTTCACAAATATCAAGCAGATTGTCAAGTTTGTCGAACATTTTGTCAAACTTCTCTTCTATTTTAACCAGCTGATCTCCATTTAATGAAGCTGGAGCTGATGAGAGCTGGAGAAACCGTATTCGCAAAGAGGTCAGCACGCAATTAGACAAGTCTTTAGACTTGCTCGCTATCATCTTTGCATGTTAAATCGGTAATACCTGATGCTGATCGCGTTTTGCTACAGTTACATTCTCGTTTGCAATTCGGTCACTCTTAGGTACTGTCGTTATCCAAAGAGCTAAGATGTAGTCATCCATGTTTATTAAGCGGTCACTGTAAACAGTTCAACGACATTACCTGGTTCCAATCCACGAAAGTACTCGGAGTTCTTGTGCGTATAATTGAGACAATAATTAGAACATTATAACGTGGAACAATAAATATTGATATGGGACAATCAAACACTGCTATACCTTAAATGTGGCCATATCCATTCTCTCGGTCACAGGCTTTTTTAGTAACCCTTCTAAAATTTCTCGAGTATTACTATCTCTTATTTCTTGTCCTAATATAAGTTCATCGTTTGATTTCAATAGTTCTACTTGCTCGAGAAGTTTTTCCTTGAAATAGTGCGATCCAGTTTCTATAAAGTATATAATAAGTCCAAATGAAAACATGTCCAGTGAAGGTGTAGCAAATAATGGCTGTTTATTGGATTTTGCTGTGATTAGTTCAGGACTAAAAATAGAAGAGATAAGATATTAGGTCAAGTTGTGAAAATTTCTAGCGTTAGTTGTTAATTATAAGTATTATAAACAATAAAATGTGTCTAGGATACAATTACATTTATTAATATTCGGGGAATTGAAATACTAATGCATTCAACTATACCTGCAATAACCAAGTTTTTTGAATGACACTTCAACATTTTCAAATGTGGTACATGCGGAATCAAAATCCACCAACTTCCATATTTTTTGTTCTCCCTTCTTAAATAACATTATGTCTCCGGGAGACAAGTTACAATGAACTAAAGTGCGAAATTCATGTTAAGGGACGTCTAAATATCACAATGCTGTTCTCGAATCAGTACTCTTACCTATCCCAATTAAATGAATATCCCCCAAGCCAGCTGCTATATGCTACGAGTGGGTATATATATATACATATATCAGATTGATTTGCAGGATCATACCACAGGCGTTAATCATACATTATACTAACCCGAATCATTCTGGATTTCTCCTGCTGTCGTTCTTCGACAGTGAGATAATGCATGACTGTGCCTAGATCATACTATCAACCATCAATTAGTCAATAAAATCCTCAATGTCTTAAAAGTCAATGGTACGCGAATAGAGCTCAAAAGAAAAAAACCAACTTGTCCAAATTCAAGAGCAATAACCAATTCTGCTGCCAGCGGTTCAAGCATCTGTATCACATTCTGCAGACAGTTACATGCATCAGCGTTTTGAAGGAATCATAAAAGTTTTCGAATACATTATTTACAATTAGATACAAACTTCGACACCACGCAATTCGGATAGACACCGTTGCTCTCTAGCGAGAGTCTTGTAATCGTTGTAGTATTTCAATGCTACGGTCGAATCTGATTTCAGATCGTTGGCTTTCCAAACATGGTGGTTGGATCCGAGGCCACATTTTCTTACAATTCTGAACCGGCCGACAATCACTGCAAGTAATCAAAAGAGTTAATGATAGGCAACCAAGCAATCTGCTGTAATCAGAGATTAGTGGGATTTCAATGAAAGTATTGAAATTCTTCCTGCATTTACCATCTACATCAGGCTCCTGACGTTTTGCTTCGCTCGAATAGTTAGTAATATCAATCATAGAGTTGACTGTTGGATTCTCACCACTCATCCAATCGTTTATATCAATCAGTAATATTTGCCCAAATATAACTGTCGCTGTCACACCACGATGCATAATGATGTTGTTATTGGCTAAATGTGCAGCATTCCACTTGACCGATTGGTGCTAAGAACTGAAAGATTTTATTTCCATTGGGATTATTAATGGAATAAAAATCACGTCAGACATCAATTTCGAATACTTTCATTTGAGGATTGGGTTAATTGCGACGTTGATATATCGTTTCTTACTTGACTCACCTCCCAAGTGGTGACAATCAACCAATCAATCGCGATAGGTTAAACGAACTGACGTCATACGCGCATAGATTGAATCATGGGATCTTTTCTGTCAAATAAAGCGGCAAAAATTTTAATTTTGAAAACCGGTGGTATTTATTATTATAAGTTTATTGTTTAATTTCTGATGAGAGATTGATTATAGTTAGTCTACCTCTTAGAAAAAATATCAAAGAAGGAATGCCCCCAATTTCCGTCAACTCGTAGTTTCGTGACCGAGTAACTCAGTCACAGCATCCATATATATAATACAAGATGTGCGGAAAATGCAAACTTCCCGATTTTACCTAAACCAACTCCAAAAAGTCTCTACTTTCCAGGCGTTCTTGAAAAGAAAGTACCGCTCATACATTCTCAATTTTCCACTAAATATAATTCCAACGAGCGAACTCAACTTTATTTTTGGCGAGATTTCTTCAATCGTTATCTTTTAGAATTGCTACTAGCTTAAATCTTAGGCTATGATGCCAATTTAACATTTTTCACATGGATGTGCGCTTTGAGCCATTATCTTTGATGAAACCCTTTTATGATGTGTCAAACAAACTTTCAGTCAAAGTGTTTCGATATTAAGCAGCATCATGATCTCTGTAGAAAGAACCCATTTGTACTTACCTTTATATTTTTTTTACTAAACTTTGTATTAATTTTCTGTCTCAGTTTTAATAAGGGTACTATTTGTTGAAAACGGTTGAGTTTGTTTGAATGGAAAACCCAACAGACAGTCTTACTTCTACACCTACAGAAAAATTAATACCTACTGCAGTGCATACAAAGAGATAAAACGCGCTAGTCGCTATCAATTGTTCCAGCCCGGTTTGTATAAGCTTGACCTAAATAGTTATTTATAATGCGTAAAGTTTGGTTTGGTATGAGCAATTGCAAATATATATATTGTCATGCTCCAATAATAAACGTGAAAATTCAAAATGGACTAATTCGACCGAGTACTTTACTCATTACAAGAAGCACGCAAACAATGTCAATTATGGTTTGCATCTCAATGAGGAATTAAAACAGTCAAAACCCGAGAATCAAGGATTAAGTAGCGTGTGTAAAATAGAAAGATGTCGATTGAATATGGTTGATTAGTCTATCATATCTGTGATACTTCGTTATGGTGTTACAGTTGCAACTCCTTACAGTTCCATGTGGATTTACACGCTCATTCGACATCATCCGACAATTAAGGATCGTACGATTCGATAATCTTTGTTGGAATACTTGATTATTCGAGCAATTTCTTTGGCATATCGAACTTTTAAGTGACAATAACGACACCCCACGTGCGTCGATCTGAAGGATATATGCGTGGGAATTATCACAATTACTAGCATCGAAACAATGGGCTTGTGACTCGAATAAATTAAAAAAGGAGCTTTGGAAGGTATGTAGACACGGTTGACGTTGTGAAGTTTCAAACAAGTTATGAATTGCGAGAGAAAAATAAAGTAAATTTTATGCAAAAATGATATATACAGTATATCGTAGTCTTGCAAAGCCTTATTCCTCGGCACAACTGTTTTGATGTGGAAATAGTGAGTAATATCTCTGACAATTACGCCTGTAAGACAATAGCCACATTTTATTCGTGTAATTGTAGATTAGATGTTATATGCATTACGTCGATGAGGCATTGTTAACGAGCCTGCTACAAGCATTTTTATTGGAGTTATCATGATGTGATAGAAGTTGATGCAACATGTCTTTGTTGCAGATTGCATACAGCGTTAAAATTTGCGCATATGACCGTAACTCGAGAAACAAAGTTGTGTTGATATTGATAATCTGCTATGCATACTGTTTCATAGAATATCACTACATTATCTAAAACTCAACCCTGTTGGATACTTTCACATGCAATGCCAGGATGAGAATTTCATACTTTTTCAGCCCGGAATTTAGAGTATTGCAACCCGCAATGAATACAAATTGGGTTCTCAAGAGATATACTTTGCTGATAAGAATGTAAGCGAAACAAGGTTACATAACAGTGATGGAGATCATTGGCTGAAAATATGCAAACCAATGGATGTATAAATAGGGACCCGGTTACAATAAATGCAGCATGAGCATTTGCTGTGTCAGCACTTTACAATAATATAAATAATATACATGAACTATTCTATTGATGTGGCTGTCATCAACATGCTCCTGTACTTAGATGCTGGTTCCCAGCACTAAAAAGTTTGACACTCAACAAAGAAGGAAGATAAAATAATTATGCATTGGTATGCGGATAGTATGTCACCAATAGAATTCGCCCCAACAAACATATTCGGTACAATACCACTATTTTACACCATTTGTTAATCACGCGCATTCCAAGCTTTCATCACACTGTCTTGTCATTTAACCACCTGCGGGATGTTGAAGAGTTAACGTTAATGCGTGTATTACGGCTGTCAAAGGTTGATCATATCGATATGGCAACAGCCGTCGTACTTAGTTCATGATACAGTTTCTTCCAAAAAGCTTTCTCGTCCCAAGATGGATCGTCTTGATTTGCCTTCTTTGTCGACACACATGGACCAAACTAATGATATCATTTCACGGCGTTCTAGCGTATTAATTGGCTGGTGAGCCTGATAAAGGGCATCACTTTGCATGACAATCTATATATACATTTCTGCTCCTATTGCGTTGAAAAACTCTTCTTCTTTGTTAATTACATAATTTTTTTAATGCCCAAACCTTTTAATACAATTACAACCATCAGTTATGTTGCTAGTTAACAGCATTGCAACGTGCAAAACTTACGTAAGGTGATAGGATATGACGCGCCTATCATCTCACATACAACTACTTTAGTTTGTTGCAACAGATCCCGCATTTATTGTTTACTTGCTATCATGTGCTTAGAATGCTAGTCTATAGGGCACACAACCCCTGTAAATTGCCAAAAATATACATTACATAGAGTGTAGAAAGTACGCTAACAATATCGGAAGTTCATTGTTGTTTACAGCCCAGCAAAAAATCGTTACTTCATACAATAAATGTATTTACTCAATTGATTAAAAAGCGGATGATGTTTGACATATTTTTTGATATTGTTTAAGTATAAGATCTCCACGATCACATGACTATAATCTTAAGCTTACTAAATATGCATCGAAATATATATATGGTGATCACAATGTAAAACTCATATTCTTTGAATGCTGCAACTATAATGACAAGAAGCATGGGAAAGCGTTACCAACACATTCAATTATTGTATAGAAACCATATTCTTTCCATATAGAACACATCTTTCTGTTTCCAGGGAACTGTGGCATCGACGTGCCTGAGTCACTATATAAGCACATCCTTATCATGTCTTCTTCACGTCATCATAAGACAATAGAATCCCAAACGGGAGATGTTTCCTCACCACCAGCACAATAATTTATCATTCCTTCTTCAATCGATAGAAAACCTCTCATCGTCAGAACTGTTTGAATTGCGTAATTATGCGGAACAGCGACTCAAGAAAGATATACTTGGGCTCTTGCCAGTTAATTTAGCCGTCAGAGTGCTAATGTCATTGGATCCTGCTACTATTTGTAAAGTCAGGTTGGGTGAGTATTATAACTAACATACACATGGAGTGAAACATAGATTAAATGAAAAGATATATAGAAGCATGCCATGATAATACGATGACGATTTGAGGTGTGATACTAAAGAGAAAGGATGGACTGGAATCGAGTATGATGATTGGCGTTAGACATGACGGAATCATATGGTTTAGGAATAAAAGGAAAGCTAAAGCAAATAAGTTTGCAATATAACTATGTACGTGGCCTATAGTCGAACATTCAATTCTCTCTATTAAATACCCAAACACTGATCTACACATGTAATTTTTTTAAGTAACTTTATTTGACTAGCTCCTTTTGTTTTCTTGCTATTCTGGGGTTGTGTATATTGTTAAACATTTATTTGAGTACGGTACACTTAATTTTACATTTCACCAATAAGTTTGGCCAACATTATGCATGATGCCAGTCAGATTTGTTCGGTGAGATGATCTTATTTGTTCATTTGTAATTTTTATACGAGGTTTGTTTTCAGACAGTCTATCCATCAGAATGAGTAACACAATTGCTAATTTATTCCGGTCGCGTGTACCTAAATAATCTGGGTGTGGGAATATTATACCACGTAAAAAATAACTAATATTCTCTTATCCTCCAACAGTATCCAAGTTATGGAATCGCCGTGCCACAAACAACGACCTTTGGCAAAACCTCTGCATAAGATATTCCTATCCTCTCACACCTGTGCCACCAACAATTCCGATTTCTTTTCCTTCCGATGAGTATTACTTTCACCTTTTCAAACATCACGCAAGAATCGAACATAACTGGCATACGCGAACCTTCACCGTTCACGTAATCCCAATACATCAAAGCATCGTGTGTCTAGCTGGACTCGACGACGGATATACGGTTTATGCTGGGATGTCAGATTGCACGGTTAAGGGGTGGGATTTGCGGAGGAACGAATGTTTGGTTACGTTGAGAGATCATCGAGATGCTGTAGAGTGTCTGGTGGTAGGAAAGGGGCATATACTAGCGTCGGGTGGGTGGGATAAATGCGTCATTGTTTACGACAGAAATGAACACAAGATTATATATAGGTTAATGGGCCATACGGCGGGAGTTATATCCCTTGTTTTGACAGACGATGAATCGCTATTGTTCTCAGGATCTGTGGACAGTTCAATACGAATATGGGATGTCGAGTGTGGTACATGTTTGCAGACATTATACGAGCATGATGGAACCGTTGGCGCGCTGATGTTGATACCGCGAGCTCCCACAACAGCAATGCCATCATTTGCTTATTGGCTAGTATCAGGTTCGAACGATCATACTGTTATAATCTGGGACTTGAACATTGATTCACGACAAACATCGCGAAGCCACAGTAATAATCAGTCATTTTACCCGCACATTCACCGCCGTCTTCGAGGTCATATCAAAGCAGTTACTAGTCTAACATCAATTTTACCTGCTCGACCAGACATATGCTCAGTATCGCAGTACGATTATTACGATTCAAATAGAAACTTCGTCACGATAAATCTCGCAAAATGGCCTTTTAACGAGTCAGAGTCGTCAGTTCAAGTTGAGGAGGAGATGGATGTGGACGTTGACTTGGATGCAGAAGATAAAACAAGTATTGAAAATGACGACCAGGATATGGTAATTGAAAGTGCAACTAGCATTGAAACTAACAACGAAGCTTATAGTCAACCAGAACATCAACGTAGAGACCGATTAGAGCATTTGGTGGCGGAAGGAGCTTCTTCCAATTCTGCACTAAGATCTCCTCCACCGAGTCCCGATGCTAACGACAATATTGTATCTACACCGGCAGGCACCGACTCGTTCTCTGTTAGTGTTAGTACGACTCCTACTCATCCACGTCCCACGATACCTCTCTTTCCATCATCCTCTAACGACAATACAGCGCATATATTCACTGCTTCTCAGGACGGTTCTATTCGCATGTGGGACCTATATACTGGACAGCTACTAGGTTCAGCAGCTGATCATCAGGATGTTATCTGGAATATTCAGTGTGATGGTAAGAGGCTTGTTAGTGTCTCTGCAGATGGCTTTATACGAGCTCGAACATTAAACCAAGGATTCAAATGTTCAGCTAGATGTAATGGGAGTTTAGAGT